CCCATCCCTACACCTCAGGTCCCTCCCCCAGCCACCCTGAACGGATAGGCAGGTGACCAGATGCTTAGGGACGGCTGCCAGACCCTGGAGCCAGCTGGCAGAGGCGGGGCGGGTGGTGGCTTCCTTGTAGCTTTTCCCTTGAGGTGAATTCTCCCTGCGGGGAAGGACACAGTGAGTGTGGGTCTCCCTTCACTGCCATCTCCTTCCCTATCCTCTTGCTGGGAGGTTCATCATCTTCATATTCAGAGTCGCATCCAGCAGCTGCTACTGGCAGTACCACGTGCCTCGTAAGGTAGGGGAGTGCCAGACGACCTATTTCTGCCCCCTGCGCCCTTCCTCGCAGCCCTGCCCGCCTGCCCCCTTGGAATATCCCAAAGAAAAGGTGGCTGGCAAAGCCACTGTGGGGAATGATCCTGTGTTGTTGGGGGAAGGATACGGATGAAATGTAATGGGTCTTTTCTTTCAGCTATGAAAGAGGCTGACACCTGCACACAGGCACAACTTAAATTAGAACTTGTTAAACAGTGATTTGCTCTGGATGGAGCTCTGAACAACAAACAGCTCTTGAACTTACCTCCCAGCCTAAAAAGGATGCACCATGTCACACTGTGGGGTAATATGGTGGAAGCTACAAATCCCTTATTTTAAAAATCCCTAAGGATCCTCAGGTATGATACCAGTTAATGATGATGCCTCCCGTTTTCTCAGGCATGTACCCTTCAGAGAATTTCGAAATTGCCTAAAAATATAGGTAATTCTCACTGCCAGCCTTGGTCTGTGATAAAAGTATATTTCTCTGCCTTCACAAGAAAAGAAGCAAAAAAATACTTTTAGTTAAAAAATTAAAATGTACAAGTAATCTTGCTCTAGTATTTAATTAAAACTAAATATGTATGATTGTCATTTTCTTCCTCAAAATGATGTAATTTACTTTAATATTTCATGAGGTATGCCCTTTTCAATATATTAAAAGCTGCTAGAAACATTAGATATCTTGAGGAATGTTGAAATCATTTTAATTGTCAATATACAAATCTATCATAATTTGTTTTGTTATTGCATATATTATATTGGACTAGCTAGTCAAGTTAATTCCCAGTATATTGGAATATGGCAAAATTCTAAATTGGTATATATCATATATAACAAACTTCCTCAAAACCAGTGCTTAGAGTGTGTGTGTGTGTGTGTGTGTGTGTGTGTGTGTTTAAATTTGCACTGTAGAGTTTGAGTTACTGAAATAGTTAAGCAAAAATTTATGAAAGAAGTGGCAATTGGCACATCATTAAAGTTAAATACCAATTAAATTTTAAAATGCTAGAATGGAATATTTGGAAAATGGAAATGTGTGGAAAATTTACAAAACCAAAAATTTTTAATAGTGTGACTTAGATACGCTATATAATTGAAAACTCTTGTAATGTGTATATCCAGCTACAGCACTTGTGTGTCCCAAATGTGTATCTTCTACTTTTACCAGTGCTATTTTCATTTGCAAATGTAAAATGACATCTATCTTAAATATGTAAATCTATACTGAAAGGTCATCGCACTAACTTTTGTCACTCCACTGGGCATATTCAGGGTGGGGCAAAAGTAGGTTTACAGTTTTGAGTACATGAGACAAAGATTATTCTTGTACTAGAGGCCCAATGCATAAAAATTCATTCAAGAGTAGGCCTTGCTCCCCACGGCTGCCAGCACCAGCTTCCCTCCGGCACCCGGGACCCAGGCTACCTTCCCTCGGGCCACTCACAGGCACCGGGGATCAGGCTGGCTTCCCTCCAGCCCCGGCTTTATCAGGAAGGATGTCCAGAATGACGTCTGGTCTAATTAGCATATTACCCTTTTATTATTATAGACTAGAGGCCCAGTGCACAAAAATTTGTGCACTCAGAGGGGAGGGGGGGTTCCTCAGCCCGGCCTGTGCCCTCTCACAGTCTGGGACCCCTCGAGAGATAACGACCTGCTGGCTTAGGCCTGCTCCCGGGTGGCAGAGGGCATGCCCAATCCCTAGGTGCAGCCCCTGGTCGGGCTCAGAGCAGGGCCGACTGGGGAGTTGGGGCGCCGCCCCCTGTCATGCACAGAGCAGGGCGGATCGGGATGTTGTGATGCCACCCCTAGTCACGCTCAGGGTAGAGCTGATTGGGGGGTTGGGGCACCGTCCTCTGTCACACTCAAGGCAGGGTCGATAGGGAGGTTGCTGCACCACCCCCTGTCACGCACAGAGCAGGGCCGATCAGGGGATTGGGGCACTGCCCCCTGTCACGCACAGAGCAGGGTCGATCAGGGAGTTTGGGAGCTCCCCCCTCTCACGCACAGAGTAGGGCCGATAGGGGAGTTGGGGCACCGCCCCCTGTCACCCACAAAGCAGGGCCGATCAGGGGGATGGGGCGCCGCAACTGTCACACTCAGGTCAGGGCCGATGGGGAGGTTATGGCTCTACTCCGTCACACACAGAGCAGGGCCCGTGGGGGGGGTTGGGGCGCCACACCCTGTCACACACAGAGCAGGGCTGATCAGGGGG